TTCCCTACAATCACTGCTTCAAATTACACACAGTCTTCTAACAGAATTAAATTTCCTTACAGTTTTTCACTTTTTGTAGGGTATTACTTTTGTGGGGTTCGCACACTAGAACTGCAAACAAAGATCTATGGTAAAATTACACAAAATTTTCTATAAGAAAGATGCATCGCTCGCATTACTTTCATGTTGTTAAATTAACATTAGATCTTAATTTTAACTGTAACTCACTAATAGAAATTTCCAATTTCTTTTTCCTCAAACAGGCTTACTCGATCTCGAACGATATCATCTGAAGTTAAAGTTACACGATGAAAGATGATCGGTTTCCTGCAACGTGTGACACGAACCCGAAGAGGAATTCGAAGATTCGTGTAAAGATGCACGACCGCGAACCACTTTTTAAGGGTTGTGTCTCACAGCCGTTTACGGATTCCAGCCAAGCACGTACGAATTCACCTAGATCTCAGTATTTGACGGCGACCACTTGTTGCATCAACCGGCGGATTTCGTGCGCAAGCATGTTTCTTCTCGATGCCTGCTCGAGAGATAACACATGCACGTCGAATTCACTGAATTGAAACATTTTGTACGAATTCTTGGTAAAATAAACAGATGAAGTGTTGTCCAAACATATCGGTAGTTACACAAAGATGGTCTTCCAATCATCAACATATGAACTTTTTGAATTATATAACGTGTAATTTTGGGATTCAAAATTCGAAACTCGAAGTCTAAGACACTGATAATTATTTCGCTGCATGAAAATTGTATGAATTTTTTTCCTTAAAGAAACAGAAAAACGATACACACTCTACAACGGCGTATTGAGAACTGAATACGAGTCTCGAGTCGTGTCCCCTCCAGAATAGTTTACCCCACCACGGGCCCCGACCATTTTGCTGAACGAAGGGCTTGAGAACGCGTCTAGGTGTCGAATATACTTGAAAGTTACTGTAACGATGATGTTACTGCTCCTTTTTAGGATCTACAGACGATACAGATGTTGAATACGTTTTCATATACGATGGAACCACAGAAGCATTATTTTTCCATTTATTTCGAATTGTTATCAGTATATCAGAAGGACATCGCGATATTTATTTCACAGATGATATACATCTGTACAACGTCAGTATCAGGAAATAAAATTTCAGTTGCACAAGATTCCGCTTCGGATTTCCTGCAAGATCTATCACGAATAAAAGGAAGTTGTTTAGAGAAGAAAATCAAAAATGACTATTAAACAACACAGTAATGTGATTCCTGGAAGGCTTATTGACTTCGTATAGTTAACTTTTGATCATTTAAACGCACTTTCGGAAAGGGGCCCTATTTAACTGACCGAGCCATCGATGGGGTTTCGATCTTTCGATTTTTTCATCGAAGATCCTTGTGCCCGCAATAAAGGCAGAAGATAAAAGAAAGACAGGGATAATTGGTGGGAGTTGTTGTGATGGGATTTAAGACAGTCTGCGCCAACTCTGGGGACGAGTATATACATACTCCGTCGAGGATGGTTAAGCGAGTGCAGAGGGGCAAGGAAGAGGAGGTAGAAGCTGCTTAAGGAGGCCACGGAATCTGCAGACGTCTCACCGTCGACCAGTTTTCTCATACGGTCGACATATGGTATATACCCGGTGGCCTAAACTTTCTTAGAATGAAGTTCTAAGGTCTACTTCAAGTAAATTCTTGACCTGCCTTCTAGCATAAAACCGATTATTATCAATATATATTATCAGATGACAATCTACAAGTTAAATACTTCGTTAAATATAACATTTTTTAAACTCTTTTCCCACCTAGGTAGGTGTTAAAAGGATGCAGTTATTCTCAATTTCGTAATAATCTAAAGTTTTGAACATCGATATATAAGCTAAATTTAAATAATATATTAGACTCGTGTAAGCTAAGTTTGACTTGGTCTAACTCAGTTCTAGGTAAGATTTGAATTAAATCTAAGTCTAAACCGAATCTAGGCTAAATGGAATAAATTGAAATAAATTGGAATAAAATTTTTTTAAATGATTAAAGAATTATACGAATGTTATTTAGACTTAAAACGAAATAATATGATTATTTGGAATACAAAGAGTTAAATCAGTCTGTTTCTAAGGAACGATCGAACCGATGACTCGGTTCTAGCGATTGTAATTCGATAGGGGTCGATTTCATGACAAGATAAGTAACGTGGACAAAATGCACACGTCTGCGGATATACCTAATCGTGTTACAAAGCTGACACATTCATAAAGTACGCCTATCATTGACCCATCTTTGCTACATAATTGCAATCTGTGCATATGAGTCGGAATAAAATTGGGATTCCATTGCATTTAGCAACGATATAATACATCTACCTTATCATTGAAAATATCTTTAAATGCATAGATTTTGAGATAGCGAAAAAATGATGAAATAAGGAAGCAAAAATGAGTGTAAATATACATAGCAGCGACACAATGTTGGAAGTATCATGGTTGGCATCCACAAGCATCGAATCGAAAAAAAGAAGTCTCGGAGCTACGCGATCGGCAGATCCAACATAATGAACTCGTTGTACGGGCTGTTGCAAAAGATCCTATGAATAAGCAAGGAGTCAGTCTGCTATTTTCTCTCTTTTTATATATTTATAAGAAGGTTTGAAGGAAGTGTGTAATGAAATCCAGTTAAATCTTTCTTCTTTTAGTTAAGATCGTAACCTAAACTACTTTACCGACACATTACTTTGCTCGATCTAGATAATGTTTAGTAGGTTATGCGAAATATCTATAATACTATTTGAAAACTTCTTTATTGCTTTAACGAAAGATGAAACGAGGAGAATTTATATACCTCTTCAAACGATCGATCCATTTGGAAATATAATTTTTTAATTCTTCGAAATAATACGTAATTACGTCTACTATGAATTAATATTTCGTAGGCGTACTTACAAATGAGGACGTCTTAGAAATATCAATGGGAGAATGTCCGCCAGACACGTTGGTTTGTCGATGCGCTTAAACATTCACACGTTATTCATTCATCGATTAATATTCTATACAACATATCTATGCAACAGTCTACGTCATTGCAATCCTTCAGACGCAGTGTCCAGAAAATTGATTAAACGTGCGTCAATAATTATATAGACCTTTAACTTTCTACTTTCCTCAACATTTGTTTAAATAATTTCAGGAATAACCTTCCTTATTCTAACCTAATAAACAGTTAGAATATCCTAATTTAAAAGAAACATAATTTGTCTCATTTCAGATCAGTTTTCGAATCAACGTATCAAAATACCAGCAGCTTGTTCGGTAAATGAGATCAAGGCTGTTGGAGCATGCTTTCCCTGAATCATCGTGACATCGAAGTATTCAGCCCTATTTATATCTAACTAACGGGTCTATAAATTGTAAATTGTTACGTCTAAGAAATTGCCTTGCTGACGACATAGTCTTATCTGCGCATTGAGAAGACGCAAGAAAGGTATCGTTATCGTCCGGTATAGTAGCTTAGATCGCTTATACACATTTTACGATGTGAACGAATTACGCAATGGTGTTTGGTCAAATAATAATTTTATCGAATTCTGGTACGTGGTAATTCGCAGGAAACAGAAAGGAACCATTGATTTCTTTTCATCGACTTTGAAAGATAAGGAGAGATATGAGGCATCGGTGAATCGGACTGCAGTTGAAAATGGCGGTGATCGACTCATAAAACAAGCAATAGGGGAAAAGCAGAGACGTATTTTCAAGCAGCCAAGATACACTTAATACAAAAGTTAATGCCTAAAGCAAATAGTCGATCGTTGCAATCACATTGTGCAAATATTAAACATGCAATGATCATAAAGCTGGAATGTGTTTTGTTTCCCATACGATTTGAATTATGGATTCTTTTTGGGAGCGAGCTGATAAAAAATTACGGAGAATTACGGATAAAAATGTGGAGTTGATGCTAGTTCCTCGGTTAGCTTACACTGATGTCATTCTGTTCCCCGTTTTCTCCCAATTGACTCTGTCCTTATTTAAAGGTCTTTAGAGCGTCTCGTTGCAAGCCTCTATAATGATTCCATTTATGATATCCCGTCTATATCTTTTAGAAAAATTCAGCCATATTTAATGAGCCATACTTGAATGTAAAAAGACACTTCTTGTTTTTTAGCTGATGAAATAAATATCAAAGGTAGCATTTACAAATTTGTCATGACAAAATAAATATAACGACAACAAAAATTTATTAGGAGAATTTTTAAAACATTTACGAAAACTTTAATCTCAAATCAATTGAATCTAAAAGTTATGGATTACGCGTAAGATCTGATTTACCGCAACTTAAAGTCATCGCTAATGTATTCACTTGATTAAACACCGTTCCGGTAGATCGTCGCAAATACAAAGAAGTTATCGGGCTGCAACGAGTAGCTTATTGACTTTTGATTCACTGGGTATGTGGGTCTTTCATGTCGACCAAGTGTCATTCTTATTGTCAGAGTTGGTCGTCAAGTTGTCGAGCGGTCACCACTTTACAGACTCCGTAAGAATCGACCTGCTCCGCTGCCTTCTTGTTTCCTCTGCTGATACAAAGAGATGTGTCTTTAAATTCTTTAAATTAAACACCAATGAATATGTCGATTACCCGATTCTATGCTTATTTACTTGATTATTACGTCTATACTACAATTACAAACAACTATATTCTCCACGACATATTACTCGCAAATTTCAATGTTACCATATTATAGGTTGATTCTGCAGAAGACAGTGATTGCAGGAAAAATGAGCCTGACTTATTTACTGTAATAGAGAGCTTGGTATATGGTCACGTGGAATAGGAGTAAATCGGTTAGATTGGAGAAGGCCTTTTATGTCAAACAGTGTGATTCAGAGGAAAATGTTAGAAGGACTAAGTGCTTACAGGATGATCGCACTCACCATATGAGCGTGAATAATAAACTGATTAATTGATCATAATGAATAATAGGACAGAATAGTTGTGCGTATGAGTATTCTAACCTTACTTTTTTCATGTATTGTATTGTAAGAACATTTAAATGAAATTTTCTTAAATGATATGGGCTAACTCGTTATGAATATTTAATAAAAGATTGGTGATGAGATCTGATGCGATAACACTTGTCATTGACCGAGCATTGCATTCGAATATATTTGATTAATGAGTTGCTGGGTAAAGTCACGTGAGTCTTTCAGACCATTCAAGTCTGGCGGGGATGGCGGTGCTCGCCACCGTAGAGAACAAAGGGAAGGGAAGGAAACTACAGCCGGTGCAAAAAAGAAACTGGTTTAAAATGCGGTAGTGCTTTCTGTGGACCAGAATTCGCCAGCTTAGCAGCGTAAAGTTCCTATATGCAACGATCAATCAGCCTTTCTTGATAGTAGGAGAAAGTGCAGCGTACAATCTCGAACTTCTACTTTTTTAACTTATGGACATACATCGAATCCTGAATTGTGGAAAATGCAAAGTGACTCTTACGTTAAAGACCTCTGATTTTTTTAAAACTAAATTAATTTTTACAAGAATGCCAAAAAGAATGGAGAATTAGGATTATGTATATTATAACGTACATCTAGCAAAAAATTGCGACATTTATCCTGTATGATGTACGCATATGTACATTTAACTGTTCAGACTATTTAAATATCATGCGATGTCAGAAAATCATTAGGAAAGGAGTGTGGACGAAGGGGTCATTGAACCCATGTACGAATTAATAGCGCATCGTGCATTTTCCTTTTCTTTCTTTTCGTCACCGTTTTGCTTTTTTCCTCTTCTCTAAAAGAGAGAAGCTCGTCACATGCGCCTAACTGGTAAAACGTGTCACGTGGCTCGCATCATTGTGCGAGACGCATGGTAACCCGATCGACGGGGACTCGTCCGACTTGAAACTCACTTGTGACGTTCCTCTAGCTTCGCTTCGTATCTGTCAGGATGCTTGACTTTTCTGTTCGCTGGCCTTTTTGGGCTGAAAAACGACGCAACCACGTCCCGTTTTTTCCTACCGCCGGATGATGGCTTTGATTCGAGCTTCGATCTAAAATTCACAAGAAGTTATTTATTTTAATCGATTGTTACAGCTGTAAACATTTTCCGTAAAACGAAGATATGCATTAATTTTGAGTCATGTCGAAGGTATTATAATAACCGACACAAACATCGTTGCAATAAATACGTAAATTGAGTATAATATTAATTATAATATATACTGGATGTAGTAAGAGTATAATTATTACTATAGTTACAGTGAACATGGTATAAACATGGTTTGATACCTTACATAAATATGCGTCACAGTAAGTACAAAAAGTGTTTCCGAACCGGCATCTTTAATTATGCTGCGAGGTTATATTTGATCGTGATAAATATTGTAGCTATATGTGTTACAAAGTGACAAAGTGTGTTGGATTTTCATAAGCGAAAAGGTACAAAAGGGCGGATATCATTAAATTACGGCAGGAGATCATTAAATTTGTATTTTTCCAAGGAATATGCAAATGTCACGTAGGCGTATTACACTCACATCTACGCTCGCATAAACGTCGCGAACAGCGAAATTCATTATCGAATTAGAATGATGAAAATTTTCTTTTTTACTCCTCTTTCACTTCTGTGTTAATTATTATCTCAATTGTCAAGTGAAACAAAGTTGATGAATCTAATTCAAAAAATTATATTTTGACCTTGTTAATTATTGGTATTTAATAAAATGGTTCTTTTTAAATGTGATATGTGTATTTCTTTTTAAAAAAAGCAAAAGATTTTGAACGGGTTTAACGTGTACAACAGTCATAACCATGCATCAAAATATAACTTGTTGATAGACCAATTCCATTGTTGATTGCTGCTCAATGTTCTTTGTCGTTAAATCTATTTACTAGGAATGACAATCTAGTAAATCGGATTGATTTCGGTTTACATCTGTCCTTTTAACAGTTTACGTAAAAAACGAATAAGTAATATCAACAAAGAGACAGAGGAATCATTACTGATATTTCTGTTGTGCAATATTTTTGCTTATCCGTGTATATAATCTTATATTTATGGCAAAAGATTCGTTTTTTTTATTCTATCTAATATTTCTTAATCTTAATACATTGCATTTAGTATTGTTTTATTTTAGTATATAGGAATTGGTAGAAACAAAATAAATTTTTTAAACAGACTTGATCAGGAACAAAAAAGAAAAAAAAGATAGGGGACACCCGGGTTTGAACCGGGGACCTCTCGATCTGCAGTCGAATGCTCTACCACTGAGCTATATCCCCTATATGTTCCAGGTTCTCAAAATCAAATTATACGTGGGACAATAAAATATCTATAATTACAATTTTCTTAACAAAACTAGAGATTAAAAATTAAAGCAGTTGCTTAAACTATTTTCGAAAATGCTGATTCGAGTTATAGTCACCAAATATACACATATGTCATTTGGCACAGAGAAAGCGAGGCTAATAGCTGCGACAGGTACATAGCGGAATTTCTGGAAAAATAATAGCACAACCGGTTTCTCGATGCGTGACAAACAAATCAAGGCCTGTTGAAGGAAGCCCATTACGACTGTGGTAACGAACTTTCCTTCGACTCGTCGATTACAAATGTTTCTTGTATTAATTAAGTGGTTACCGACTACTATCGCCATCTATACGCCAATTGTTTATCTTTCATTGTTACCGACCTATATCAATAAGGCAGGGATCCCCAGAACTAAATTACCGAACTCTTCGGTCAAGTAGAAAAAGCATAAAATGCCCAAAAATGAACAAGCGCATATTTGTTTTGTAATAAGCGGTAAAGCAAAAATTTAAATTAGACAATCGCTGGAATAGAAAAAATGAAAAGGAATTTCTAATGTATTTACCATTTTCTAACTGACTTTCACTTGAACATATAACAGAAATGGAAAGCTCATTAAACCATTTTCACTATGAAACTATTATACTTACCGGGCCTTCGTGGACTTGTTTGTTGTGTGTACAGAAATAGCTGTTGCCCGTTTAAACGGTGCCCGCCCTTCCGAACCCACGGACATTCCGCTTCGAGCCTGTAACAAATTAGAAAATAACGTTATTAGTATAATACTCGATCAAATTTACAAAAATGTAATTAAACGATACATCGTTTCACGAAATATGTATTTCCTCGGAATAGATGAAAACATGCGTCAACATCTCTAGATTAATAATACAGTTGCAACGTTGAAACCGCAAGTGTAACATCCTTGACGAGATATCTTCTCTTACGAACACGAATTCGATCTGTTCGTACCATGGATATATATTAATGGCGACTACTAATGAAACACGCGCTAAATAATTATAGAAAGGTGGAACGTCGCTTGAAAACGCAATAGAGGTAACACCTCTAACACCTCCGCAATTTGCGAATAAAAGCAGGATCCAGAAATATCGTGGGAAGGAGAGGACCTAGAGGAATCTCCTTGAACTTTAAAATCGAACAAAGCGTACCGTATTTCCTCCTAGAGCGTCCAGTAAATGACGAAACATTTTTTCAGTTATTCAGGTAGACTATTTAAACAGATATAACCTTGGTGGCGCAAATAGTCTTGTTTTATTAATCGATTATGTAAAAACTTCCTTTGAAATCGCGAACTTTTATTAAAATATCTCTTAACCTATAACGCGCGTAGTTCACAGATAACATTTTTCATTGGCACTGCACCTCTCGAGAACACAGAAAGATCGACGCAATTTAAAGTGACACGATAAGAAGTAAGTTGACCGTGATAAGTCGAGGAATATCTACAGACACATGTTCACTGACATATTACCTACAGAGAACAGATATCGCACTATACACACACACACACACACACACGCGCACGCACGCACGCACACACACACACACGCACACACACACGCACGCACGCACGCACGCAAGCACGCATATATATGCTACATTTTTGAGAGTGATAAAATAACGTTTAAAATTGATAACCTAATTAATAAAAACGTATGAAAAAATTACTTTATTACCAATTTGTTCGATATTTCGATATCACTCTGTCGTTTTATATTCAAACTTAACTTTCCTAGGAATTTAAGAAAGACGAAAAAACATGATTATGTAATAAAGTTAAAAGGATCAACGTAAAAAAGATATTTAACCGATAATGATGCATAATGTATGAAAATACATATAATAGGTAGCTAATAAGTCGAGCATTTTTGTAGATTAAAAATAAGTGTTAAAGATATTAGTGAGAATTTGTTGAAAATCGGGTTCTGAGGCATCAGTTGTCAGGAAAACTGGTGAGATTCAGCAGATTTTCAGTGAATGTACACATGGAAGAGCTTCAACCAGAAGGGTATAAGTCCGTATACGTACATAGTTCTAAAGGTTCATCGAACCTTGCCGCGTGTACGGGTTCTCGACCAATAATAAAGATGCATGCCCGGTACGTAACTACGTTCTGTACATACATACGTAAGTACTACCCTACACTCGTGGCATCTTGCTCGACGCGAAATATTCGCGATATACACGCAACTCGTTGCCCATTCTTCTATAGAGTGTTCCTATAGAAAATGTAATCGAATTTTAAACTTAATTCTTTGTACTCTGCGATATCCAATTGAATGAATTACTTAAAAAAGGACTGTTACATGACAGCCACGTTGTTATAACTGTTTGATTTGAACAGAAAGTTTTAATGGCGCCACTATGGGAACTATGAGACAACTATTTCCTTATTAAGATTACTTTTGTTATTTTCGTATTCTTGGTATTCTTATTATAGCATTATGTAGTCTAAGCTCTACTGTTGATAATTAAAAAGTTATAACGAACTGGCAATACATGTGGAATTATCGAATATCTACGGAATCATTCGTATGATACATAGCGATACAAGATCTATTATGATACATAAGGCGCATGTGCATGTCCGGATAGTCGCTGCTAGCACTAATAAGTTGCACGTAATTCTTGTTTGTCAACAAAATTGGAATTCCTACAGAATCGATTGTTAGTCATTGTTTCCGTAGAACAGATGATCTTTACGTAATTGGCAAATGGACAGATTTGTCGCTTCAGTGAATGAATGCGGACATGTAACCCAATAACTCGATAATTTTGCATTTACCATTTAAAATATATTACGAAGGACTTATCCACTCGTATTCTATGATTCACAAATAAGTTTATACGCTCAAACTTTTTTATTATTATATAAACATTTGTAAAGATTAATTCGTTTAAGATCCAAATGGTTTTTAGATTAAAGTCGTATGGACGTAGAATTTTGATACCGTGTTTGAGTAAAATTAGGAATTCTAAGGAGGTAACAGGATCAGATTAGGGAA